ATGCCATTTTAGCAAACAGCGACGTTTTAACGAGGATGTGCAACGGGGCGCGTGACCCACTCTACTTTCTGACGGGGACCCCCTTTTGCCAGCTAGTGGCTCAGTGTTTCTGTGAAGCACCGCAGTGCAGCTACACCCCTCTCCGGCGAGCTCAACAGGCTGCCAAGCTTTCAAAGGTCAATCTCCCGCAGCATTGGCACCCGGAGAGCCGCGCTTGCTGGGGTGAGTTACGTCGTCTTGGTACATTTTGTATCATTCCCAAACAGTTGCATGTTAATGGAGTATAGCAAGTAAAACGGAATGTTACGGAAAAGCAGCGGATTAGGCGGTCGGTGCAGTACGACCGAGCCAAACGCACAGTCGACGGTTTTTCGTCTTTTTCACCCCAGCAACAAGTTGAATGCCACTTGTCCAAACAGTTGGTGTGGTAGAGTATCTGTACGTGGGTCATAAACTTTGCAGTCATGACCCAGTGTTGGGTGGTGGCCTGTTGTAGTTCAAAGAGTCTCAAAAGACCAAAGAACACAAAGGCCTTTGTACTGATTTACATCCTTTGTATGCTCGCAAATGTTCAGTACGAAAAAAAAAAAAAAAAAAATTAAATAGACATGCTTATTTCTGCATTCTGTTGTGTAAAAAAAAAAAAAGCTTGCACTAATTTTCAGTTGGTAATGGCATGCAAGGACAAATACGCTGCTTAAAGGGCAACTCCGCTTCATTTTTGGTTTTGAAAAAACAATGCAGTCCTCTTCAGTATCGCCTAGGAAGACCACACACCAAATATTACGACGCAAATTCTGTCTAAATGTTCCTTAAACGGTCCGGCAAACTTTGCAACTCACCAAGTTGCCGAAATCGGCTGACTCGAGCGGGCGAATTCAGGCGCAACCAACAGCGCAGTCAAGGCTACGGCATGGGCGGAGCCAACATTGAGCTAAACGCCATCCACATGGCCCCCTTTTGCTTGTTTTTACTTCTCCGATCGAGCGTAGCGCGCGACGTCAGCAACGTTGCCTCTCGGCGCTCAGCGGTGTCCCCGTGATTGACGTACGCGCCTGCGCAGCGCGCTTCTTGGGAGCAGACCAACCGCCCGCCGTGGTCCCGCCTTTACCGCCGTCTTCCACGTCACAACCGCCATCGTCGTCTCACCGTTTGTGATTATTGCCTCTCGGAGTTTCGTCCACACTATAGACACCACGTGCGCAGAGTCCCAGACTTATGCCGCAGTTGTGCAGACGTCGTCGAATGCCGTAGACACCGAAACATGGCGAAGAGTGTGGTGCAGACGACACTCGCGCCTGCCGCACGCTCGCCCGCCCCCATCCCGCCCGTCGTTGGGCGGAGGATCACGTGACCTATCGTACCACGTGATGGCCATGTACTTGGCGGCCCGAGGCCAATGTTGCCGGACGGAGCCAAAGTTTCTGTTTCGATTTCCGCTCGTGTTTAAAATTAGATTTAAAAATATATATCCCATTTTTCGCGGAGCAAAAGAAGTAGTGTCTTTTACTAGGGCTTTTTAATTCGCAATCACTCATTATCCCGAAATCTTCGGAATTGAGCGGAGTTGCCCTTTAAAGGGACACTGACACCCCCCAAAAAAATTTTTTTTATTTTTTGCCAGGCGCTTCATTATGGTGTCGGAGGACTACCCAATTAATATTTTGCAACAGAGTAGCGTATTTTTTTAATAAAGCCAAAAGACGCAACTGCTTAAAACCGAAACCGAAACCCGACGGAGGTCGGAGAAGTGGAGAGAAGAGAGTGAGTGGCGGAAGTCACGTGGCTACACCCGACCGTGCGTTTTTTTGTTTTTTTTTCTCCTCTCCGGTAGCAGACGACACGACATGCGGCGTGCGATGCGGCGTGCGGGAACTGCTCGCCGTGCGATTATTTTGCAGTTATGTTTGTTCCGCTCGTTGTTCTGTACTCCAAGATGAGTTGTTTTGTACATTGAGGAGTTGGAGATGAGTAGTGAGTGCCCGTGGTGAATTTCCATGATCGGCTCCGAAAAGAATACACCCAACATGTTGCGTGAAGAGCTGGCTCACATGTCCTGCATCCGAAAAAAGTGGCATTGTGCGACAGAGTTTCCGAAAGATCAACGGGATCGGGACCAATGGCTGGCCGCAATTCCTGTAGAACATTTACGGGCACCTCGGAAAGCGGACGCTACCTGATTCATATGCTCCTTGCATTTTGTGGAAAGTGATTACATTGAGTTCACAGGTGTCAAAACGGAAATCCCATACCATTTAATTCAGCGAAGTATCGTCCACAACATTTGTTTGTATTTTTTTGTTTTTATTCAGTGATGATTGTAAAAAAAAGAAAAAATATGTAAATATAAAAAAATGTTTGAAAAAAAAAAAAAAAAAAAGTTACACGGGGGATTGAACCCGGTCCTATCGCGTTTGAACCGGACGTCTTTCCCACTGAGCTACTGAAGCATCTCTTTTGTGGTGGATCTCTTTCCTTAGTAATAATTCAGCCGGTAAACTGTAAGTTGGAAAGTTTGCTGTCGATTTTTCTCTAGCAAAAGCACTCCCGGGTCGAAGTCGGGAAACACCCCGCTTTGGAGACATTCGCACCTAGTAAAGAAATCGTACGCGTGCATATTCAACTCGAAGTAGACACGTCGTGCTTGACGTTTGCACGAGCGTTGTCTTCAGCCACGAGAAGGGAGCGACGGCTCGGCGACGTCTTCGTGCAAATCGGCTTGGGGGTCGGGCGTGTCGTACGGGATGAATACCAATTCTTTTGATCAGTCCCAAATTTCTCTTTTAACGGTAAACAGAATTCGCCGGTACCGCGAACGACAGTTCTGAAATAGAGGTCCCACGCCCGTCGTCCGCTGACATCGCCGTCCCCGCGAGTCCCACGATACGCGAAACGACGAACGCACAGAATGCTTCCGGTTGTCTGTGGAACTTTTTTTTTTCAATCAACGTATTTACAGCTTTTTAGAAGCCACAAAAAATGGGTTTCATATTTTTTTTCTATTTTTAATATTGAGTGTGTGCCTTCAGTGACCCACGACTTTGATTAAATTTGGTGGTCGCATCGATACCTTAGAAAACGGCCCGTGACCGCGGAAAAGAGAGTGAGCGAGACTCAAACCGGCCAGTTCTTGATCGGCGGTTTTCGGGCGGAAAGAGACCGAATTTCGAGCCGCAAATTCTGTTCTGGGTAAAGTTAGGATAATTTGTGAAATCACAACTTGTTTCGTTTGTGAATTCTTTCCGGCCGTTCCCGCCGTTTGCTGTCACCTAAGGCTGGTACCCGAACAGGTGTGCGTTTGTGTACGGCACAGGACCTTCGGCAAGTTTTGGATATCGTTCTGAATTAATCACGAATCGGCATTCTCAATAGTTGATTGGTTATGTTTGTAGAATGTTACGGAACGTGCCGAATAGTTATTTTCCAGTGACATTTCTTGGTTTAGTTGTAATTGCTGCTGATTGTGTTAATGTGTGGGCCCCGAACTAGGCATGCCTCGTGTGTTGGTTGCCGGTGATTCAATGTTGAAAGACCAAGCACAGCCTTTTAGACTGGATACTGGCGTGGCTGTCGAGGTCAGGTCCTTTAGTGGTGTCAGGAATTGAGTGGTTGTTCTCCATGATCACTGACAGTCTGCCTGGCTTTGATGAGGTGCTCGTGAATGTTGGCACTAACACCGGGGATAATGCCATCACGCGTGTCGTCAAATTTCGTCAGCTAGTGTAACGCATCATGGAGAAGAACCCCGAGACCCAGGTAGCCTTGTCGGCCATCCTTCCGAGGGAGGTGAGCTTTCGGAAGAATGATCAGTGGGCGGACAGTGCCAAAGTGCTGCAACAGCACAGTAATGAGGCCAGGGAAACAAACTTGCAGGAATTCTGCCGCAAGGAAAGATACGGCGTCACTTAAACAAGAAAAGCAGCAGGGTAGGTTTTTTTGTTTAATTTAGAAGCCATTTGACAGTCTGCATATTTGAGCCATAGCATTATGTAGGACAAGGAATTAGAATTAGAATCAACATGTATGCAGATAACGCTGAAAGTTTGCTTGGCCTTAGGTTTTCGTGGTGTCACGTTTTCCACTGAAGTTTTCATATATTGGCAGGTGTTCGGAAACAACTTTTGAGTAGCCTTCATGGTGTTCCGACCGGCCACGAGTAGGAGGCTGAGAATCAAGAGTGCAGTCGTGATGCAGGAGAGGAACACCAGGAGCCGCGTCGTCAGTATGGACCCCAGGCCAAGGAGCTTGCAGAGTTCTGGAGTGGTAAGTACAACTTCCCTTCCCTTAGTTCTAGTGCTGGAGGAGGCCGAGTCTGCGTAGGTAAAGAACAGGTGCAGGCCATGTGCACCTTGACAACCACTGACGCACGAACCACCAGCTGGGCTGCCGTTGTGCAGAGGGCGCCGAAACGTGTTTCTTGTGGCCATGGCGGCATTGACAACACTGTAAGAAGTAGGGGCTCTGTGCCGTGCCACAGTCTTCAGAGAACACCGAGCCCTCTCGGGGTGTCCAGCCGCCAGCAGTCGTGCCACTCGAGAGCAGAGGCTGAGAGGAGCAAAGCCCTCTGGGATGCCATTGATGCACTCCGATGGCTATGCTCCTGCGCTTGTCGGGGGAGCGTGAACACACCAGAAGGCTGGCACATTCGCCGCTGCCTGTGGTGCCTCTGTGCGTCCCTGCTCTTCTGTGGCGCAGTGCATCAATCCCCGTAAGGGTGTACCGGCCACAACCTGTCGTCACACTGGAAAGCAGAGGTGGAGAGGAACAAAGTCCTCTGGGATGCCAATGACGCAAAGGGGTGCCTGCACTTGTCGGGGGAGCTCGGGCTCGGACTTTTGGATGGCTCGTACATGTGGTGTTGCCTCTGAGTGTTCGTCTCTTTTAGGAGGCTCAGTTTTTTTTGGAAGAAGCAAAGGGTGTTCCAATAAAATCGTGGGTCAGAAGTCTCCAAGATGCATTTCTTGTAATGTACCAACGATACATGGTCAGGCTGGCGCAGATGCTCCTGTCAGTGGTGCAGATGGGTGCCTTGCATACACTGTGGGTTGGGCAAATTAGCTGGAGGGGGCACTCTGGGTCTAGGCGTCTCATTCAGTGACTATAGCGAGTTTCAATCTAGCTATAAGCTGTGGCTAGCTGACGAATTAACTCCCATGAGAATTGGTCACTCTCAAAAATATTTGTCTAGTTGCACAAACCCTACATCTAAAGACTCTTTCCCTTATAGACGTATCACTTTTGAGTACTGCCGTGCTGGGAAGTCTCGATTTAGAGGAAACGGCATCCTAAGCAGGCAGAGGTATCTTGCGACAGGATGCCTATGCAAGATGTCTGTGATGAGAGCATCCACATCGCGAGATGCAGCATCGACTTTTCGTGCACCAGCCCGATGTTCGAGAGGCTTCACGTTCAACCTTGTAACCTTTCCTTTGCTTAATAAAACTGATCTATACGACACCTTAGTCGTCACATGGTGTCAGAAGTCGCCACAGACGTGACAGAAGGAGCGCCAAGACTCAAGAGCCCATCGAGCGAACGTGAGGCAACCGGCCCCCCCGAAGCCGACACCGACAATTCAAGATGGTAGACAACGGAATCCGACCACCGAAGCCTCTGGAGGTTTCATCGCAGTCTCCGGATACAGGGGACGACTGGCTCCAAGCGCACGACTGGTATGCAAGTGCAGTTCAGATGCACAAGACGACGGCGGAGGTCCAGGTCGCAAACTTTATGACGGTAATTGGTCCGGAAGCACAGAGCATCTACAGAATGTTCTCGTTCACCGAAGAAAAGAAAGACGTCGAAGCGGTGAGGCTGAAGTTCAAAGAGCATTTCACACCGAAAACGAACCTGGCGTACGAGAGGTACAAATTCAACAAAATGAGGCAGGAAGGAGAGACCTTCACCGAGTTTCTTACAGCAGCAAGACTACAAGCCAAGAAATGCCAATACGGTGACTTGACGAACGAGCTCCTGCGAGACCGCCTCATTGTGGGTATAGCAAACGATGACGTCCGAGAAAAACTACTCGGAGATCCGGCAATCGACCTGGAGAAGACTATCCACATATGCAAAGCCAGCGAGCAAGCTATGCAACAGCTGAAAAAAAATCACCGCAAAGGAAACAGACAAAGCTGGACGCAACCGCTTGCCACCGTTTTACTGGTTCCAGACATGCCACATTTTAGTCAAAAGTAAGCAAACGTAAAACAATGGATTGCAAGCGTCCCAGCTGGTGCCTCTGTTGGCAATTATGCTCCCATGCATGTGAGGGCAACTTCGGCAGGCCTGCAGTTGCGCGTGCTTTGTCGCCCGAGCGGAGACAACGGCTGTTCGATCGAAACCAAAAACCATGCCACCGCTCTCCGTCAGCAATTGATTCCCAAAATTGTATACTAAATGTAACTTTCGAGCATACGACAAAATACAGTCCAGCGGCGCGTGCTTGCTAGGCCGGCAAACAAAGTACAAACTAAACACATATATATATAAAAAAAAAACTGAGAGCATTGATGCAAGACATTGCGAGCCAAGATCAAAAAGATTTTGGAGCGCTTTGTGCAACGATTGGACTCGAGACAAATAAGCGCGCTGTGCGGGTTTAGCGTGCAGACATTGCCTTATTTGCTTTAGATCATTTTTCTTCACCAACTTTCTTTGACGGCATATTTTTTTACGTATCGAAAGGAAGCCCACCGACAGAAACATAGGTAATGAATACTTTGTTCGGCCCAGCAGTCTTTTGGTTAAAGAGGGATTTTTTTTTTAATAACGTATGATTTAAACAAGAACAGAAATGCTGATGAACAAGCGGTGGTACTTAGTTTCATTTTAGAAAGCGTCGACGAGGGGACAGCAACACCCGAGGTCGCGCGACCACGGTGACTGGGAGGCAGGGATTAAATATAGTTTTCCCACGGCCATTGCTTTCTGGAGCAAGTGCTTCAAATCACAAAGTAACTCCCGCCACGCAAAAACGTGGTTTCGTTTCACAGCATGACGGCATGGCTGGTACCCAGCACGCTAGCGTTGGAGCATCCGCACACACCCGCACCTATTGTTGAAAATATTTAAAGAAAGACGCGAGACGAGACCCACAAGGCGACGAGAGCGCAAAACGCGAGACAAACGAGAACTATGCAAGACCGAATGGGCAATGAATGCAAAGTACTTTGTGCCGGGCAACCGTGTGTGCCACATAACACACGCATGCTCAATTACGATACTCAGTTTAGCTTCCGTTTTGAAAGGCAACCGAAATTGTTTTTTGGCGCAGATTACCCATATTTTGGCAAAATGCAGCAGGACGTAGCAGGGTTAGCCCCTTAGCGCAGTTTGGCGCAGCAATCACATCACTGCAATGTGGCTCCTGACGACAGACCCAGCAATTCGCCGGCTTGGGTAGCGAATGGGTTAAAGCAAATGGAAGATTTAGTTGAAAAGTGTCCTGGTTGGACTGTAACGAGAGAAAAAAAATTCCAGCAATAAGCTCTTGTTTGTACTATTTCAGTCTACCTTAATGAGGCAGTTCACAAAAACTTATCCAGAGGTATTATTTTTTTGATGACACATTGTACGGTAATGGTGATGGATAAGGATATTAATGAAATAAATATTCTTGCACAGCTGCTACAAAATTGTAGAATTTTGCTATGCTCTTGGCATGTGGTAAAGTATCTGCACCAAAGAGTTTCGCAACTTTGTTCTAGCAGAGTCGACAAGCAAGCCCCGTTAAGTCTCTCATATCAAAGCTAGTTTTCTCTTATGATGACAATACTTTACCAGGAACTCGTGGAAGAGATTAAAAATGAACTGCAAAAAGCGCTTGAAAGTGAAAAGCAAAAAACTCAGCTTTCTTGAGTTTTATTATAAGAATTGGCACAACTGTGGGCAAATGTGGGTGCATGCATACCGTCATAACATCTATACATTTGGGAATAACACTGACAGCAGAATGGAAAGCCACAATCAAAAGATAAAGCAGTTTATGCACCAGCATATGCATTTAGCTGATGCTGTCAAAGCCTTGGTTCAATATGTAAACCATGATACTTTATTTGTTAGCTTTGCACAATTCCAAGAAACCACGCTGTGCCTTGACCCACAAAAAATTGATACATTTCGTATTCAGGTATCTACTAACTGCCCAGGATATGCTAGCTATTTATAAAGAGTATGAATCTTATTCAAATTGAAATCTTGCATATTGTCTGAGTAATGGACAGCATACAGTCAATAGTCAGATTAATTGTTACATTGTTTCACAAGATTAAATTAGCTGTACATGCACATTCCAGAATCAGTTCAGGCTTCCTTGTAGACATCTTAGCTGGTAGATATAATCTTCCAGTGGATCTTTTGTATCTCAAATGTGTTGCATTTTGGTGGTTAAAATCTGGCCTTGTTGAGACTGATGTAGATGCTGCTCAGGCAACAAAGCAAAAAATTACTTTGAATGTATCAACGAAAGGAAATCCCAAACTGGACACGACGGAATCAAAGTATAATTACGATTTAAGTGAGCTCTCAGAATCGTGCAAGAGCATAGCAAACACTTTGGCATGCTGTGGTCAACCTGAGGTGCTGAAAAAGTTATCTGAAATAAAGAGTTTTTTTAATAACCTCATGACCTATCCTAAAAATCAGACTTCCAAAACAGTATTCAATCAAGATAAACCACAGGATGTGAAGCAGGCTCATTGCAAAGATGAAGACCAGCTAAACATAGAAGGGGCAAATGGTAGCAAGGATGTCATTGTAGAGAGTTCTACTAGTATTTTAAGCATTAAAAGGGAGGAAATTTGCAATTTGAGCACTTTGAGCATATGCAATTAAAGCAGCATTTTGTGGACCACGATTATTGCAAAAGTTTAAACGTTAATACAAGCTCTTCGTACATAATTACTCTCTCCATAACCAAAATTTCAAAATGAAAAAAAAAAAGCTGAATTTTCACATATTGTTGTAGATCTGACCTGTGATAAAGTACTGGATAAAGACATCTTGATTGTTCTATTGAATAAGTCGCCCCATGGTAGGCCCAGTAAAAGAAAGACATCTGAACAGCGGGTATTGCCAAGCATGAAGTCTGGTAATAGTAGCACTAACTGTAACACCAACGACCACAGCATGCTCTGTTTAGAGCGTGCAGCACGTTATATTACGCAGCATCATTCATTGTGTGTGCAAGGCATTGAATGGTTAAATGATAATGTGATCAATGAGGCAATATCCCTTATTCATACACAGTTTTATTATGTTGAGGGATTATAGGGTGTTCTTTTTGGCCCAAAAATGTTTAAAAAGCAACATAAATTCATCCAGATTCATCATATTCCAGATCCCGAACACTGGGTGACTCGCAAATTATGGGGCTCCGAACAATTCAGTATTTTTATTTGACTCCCTCTTAGAAAAAGTATCAGTTTGGTTTCTCAGGTCTTAAATATCATGGGATTGGATTTACATCAGCTCACTGCTTATGTTATGCCTATGCAGTGCCACATGAGCACATATGAATATGGGGTATAATCTATAGCCATTGCATATTGTATTGCATCTGGACAGGATCCATGTTCTCAAAATTTTCACCAGGGTTCTATGCGAGGCCACTTATTACGATGTCTCTACGATGGTGAAGTGTTACACTTCCCTATCACAACTTGATGTGTGCCTAGAAGAAGCCTAGAAAAGTTTGTTATGCTGACAGCACACAAGTGCTAGATACCAGTGGACATATGCAATAGAGGCTGCATTCTTTTAAATATGAAGTGTAACAAAAAGGTGTGGCTTTAAATGTTTGATTTACCAATCACAACTATTTAGTGTTTGTTCTTTCAAAATGGAAAATCATAAATTAATGTTCACGACAAGGATGAATATAAAAGAACTCCCCCTTGACATTATTTACCTTTAAATTTAGCTAGGGCAAATGATGAAGGATTGCCTGAGCCTCTACCTTTAAATTATTTTATTAATTTGCAAGAACCTTCCTGGATTTTCTGCAAGTACAGCCTACATTTATTTAGGCACAAAGCTCTGTGAACATATACTAACTTTTATACATACAACTGGATAGCTAGGTTCGACATTTGAGAAAAGGTACAAGGAAGTGACGTAGTGGAAAGGAGGATTGTATCCCAGCAACACTGACGTTGCGGCTCTGCACTCTTTGACGCCTCTACGTCCATCGCAAACTCGACGCCTGCCACCCATTTGAGCGACATCCAACCCCCGGCGAGCAGAAGGAGCTACGCAGTTCCTCAGGCATCCCTATAGGCGGAATACGGTTGAGGATTTGCTACGATGCGGGCAGCAATTTCTGCGTTTAGTGAAGGAACGGCAACTAATCCTGTGTCGCTGCCCGTTGTATCTGTTCTAGTACAGGTAAAAGTATTGGAAAACAATAAAAATCTAATGGGCGCTGTTAAAACAAACATAGTTTTTGTGTCCTTTCGCAAGACATTTAAGAGTTACTTGGAGAGAAAGTTCTTCCAATATTAAGTGAAATGTGGGATGCGCACTACCCGCCTTCTTTAAACCAAAATGTCGGACCACAAGAATGCGCCGGGGAAGCGGAGGGGTTGGCAGAACCCATGAGGAGCGCGCGAGCGGTGGCTGCGGAGAGGTCGGTGGCATTGCGCACTCGTCCCTCGCGCGCAACTCTACCGACCTCTCCGAAGCCCTGACGCGCGCCGACATGCGGCAATTGTGGCAGCAGCTCGCTCTGCACCTGAACACTCTGGGGCCACCAACCAAGAGCTCTAAGCAGTGGAAGGAGCATTGGTCCTGGCGCGTCATGAAGGCACGCAAACGAGCTGCCCAGCTCAACGAGGCAGCAAGGAAATCTTTGTAGTATGCCGATAGTGCAAAGAAATTTATTGAGTTGTTTTCATTGTCAACAGAAAGACCGGGGGTGGCAGTTCGGCTGTGCGCTCACTAGTGTCGTCCCTTGCCAGGATCCTGACGCCGGTGGGCGCCGATTCGGCGCTCAGGGCCCCCGGGTTGCGGGTCCCCGGTGAGTGGGGCAACCAGCAGGTACTTACTTTAACAACTACCATCATGTTAACAAAGACTGGGTTATCAGTGCACTGAAATGGGCGTCAACGCACTGCACCGTGGAATATCAATGAGGATACATTTTAGAAAGGCGTTGGCCTTTAGCTAATACTAAGAGCTCTAGCAGAAGAGATTACATTAGTCCATGTTGTGGCTAAATCTAATGATTGACACTCAAACAGGGACATGCATCATTTTTGACACCTTGCTGCTGGCTGTTGCAATAAATCCCTGTGGAGTCTTGTAATTTTTGGAAAGACGATGCGCCAGCACTAGACCTATCCCGGTACTCATTTTTTAGCATAGACACAGGCTCACTCCGAAGTGGAAAAGTTGTCAGAAGAACAAAGTAAGAATGCCTCTGAGGTGGCATTCTCAATATGTTCTCCCCCGAGTAGAATACATGCTCATCAACATCTTTCGTCAACAAATGGGAAGCACAGGCAAGGCTGTGTGTTCTCACGAGTTGTTATGAATTCCCCTTCCAGGATAGGCCAACCAGCAGCAGGTGCCAGATGGCAGCCAAGCCGGTGCTCTCCACCTCACGGGGTAAGCTCTCTTGCTAGGGCAACTGGGAGCTATCATTAATGGTGCAGGTATAAGCACCATCATCACCTATACTCGGTTTTCTGGCACATGCAATGCCAGGCTAGGGGCTGTGGGTGCGGCCCACCGTGCCCACGGCCCTGTCTCCCTAGTTTCCACCTTTGCGTCAGCCAGCCCTGAACACAATGTCAGGAGCTTTGGCAAGCCCAATCCATGGTGGACGTTTCACGCTCCTTCATAGTGAAAGTATACAACCAGTCTATGGGAGGTGTGGACCTTCTCGACATGCTTGTGGCATTCGTCTGCAAAACACAAAGGTCCAAGAAGTGGTACCTGAAGCTGTTCTTCCATTTGATAGGTGTA